ATTTTGTGTCAAGCTTTATGTGTTAAGTATTATGTGCCCCAGGAGACTGCCAATTACTGCCAATTAAATCATTATTTTAACGTGAATATTTATGAAGTAAAATATTGCACTGTTAACAGTGTTTTTAGCTATTTTAAATGTCTATTTTAAATAACTCAAGTAGGTAGCTGCGTCAGCAGGTGTAGGCTGCAAAGGAACAAGTAAAGTTTTATTCCATGCTGAAAATAGAGCTGTCTCCATAGCCGAAATGTTGTGTTTCTTTTCTTCTCCTTTCAGCATGAAATAAACCTTTACTTGTCTATTTTAAATGTCTTGTGCATACCTTTCTTTAATATTGAGTGGGTTAACCTGGGCGTGTATAACTCCTCCTGAAATTTGGGAGCCCTGAGCTAAATCTTAAGTATGCCTCATAGTATGAATGTAAACATATATTCATTTTTCTAACAATGTTTTACCAATGCATGTGCCACAATACTACAGTATAACAAAGAAAGTAGCTGCACAATGTAATGAGCTTAGTTTGGTGTCATCCACCCATCTGTCTATTTTCTAACGGCTTCTTCCAATTCAGGGTCATAGGGCAGCCAGAGCCAATAACAGCAAGCAACAGGCACAAGGCAGGGTACACCCTGGAAAGGACACCAGTCCATCATCGGGCAGACAGACACAATCGCAGACTTACACACAACCAGAGCCAGTTTCCCTGAAGCCAGTTAACCTTCCAGCATGCCTCTGGACTGTGGGAGGAAACCCATGCAAACACATGAACTCCACACAGATAGCACCCCAGGGATTGAACCCAGGGCCCCAGCACTGCAAAGCAGCAACGCTAAATGCTAAACACTGTGCCACCATGCCACCCTAGTTCAGCGCCATGTGAGTCTCACCACTCTGCTGCTTTGCATGATCAACAAACTCAAGACGAGGAGGATATTTGCTTCCAAACAGAGACTGATTGCTTTGATGATCGCAAATAAACAAATGAAATAAAGTTTGCTTGCAGGTATTTATTTAACCACACTGTTCTGTGGGTTTTTGTGTTTACAAAGCAAGATTATGTACAGTACAGAGTACTGCACTGTTTGGCAAGGATATGCTGTAACAGACTTGCTAAAGAGGAGAAAAGGCGTGTGTGCGTTAGATTGCAAATCCAGTTGTGATTTAAGTTGGTAATAATTAAATGGGTGTCTTTTGGAGAAGTATAAAACCACAGTGTAACATTGGTAGAATTCTTTAAAAGTTATTAAATGTGATTTAATTTTAAAAAATGACACTCTCATGAAGGAAAATCTATTCGTTGAAAATACTGGTAAATGGGTAGAGCTGGTCAAACATCTGCTTTGTGACCTTGAGAAACTTTTATTGTCATCCTCTTTCTCATTTCTTATGATCCTACGCTACACTGTTATATTACATACTTCAGAATAATATTGGCTTTATTACACTTACTTTAAGTCAACAGTCTTTCGGAAACTGAAATTTTAAATCATGGATATGTTTTCCAAGAGGTTTTTTTGTTCTGTTGAAGACAAAATAATTTATTGTAATTGATTAAAAAGTCCATTAATTTTGGAAAATGCTTCATGCTGCATCATGTGTAACGTGCTGGAACAGGCAACTAACGAGAGTATCAGGGTCTGGATCCTACAGCAATGCTGGTCAGAGTCTCCTAAGGGGCTCAAGGACAAGACTTAAGGGACAATTTGTTATCTCTTAGAACTGAGGACCCAGCAAGTTCAAGTCTTGTTTTTACTGAAGAAAAGGAAAATACTGGTTCTTTGTGTTGCTCTGAGCATTTTTTCCCCAATATTACCATTACCAATATCTAATTATCTAATTTAATTTCCAAATGTAAATTAATTTCAAAATGAATCAATGGAACGTGCATAAAAATAAAATGCTGTGTAAAGTCTGGTCCTGGGGTTCTGCCTGCTGGGCAGACATACAGTACTGACAAAGAATTTATGAATTAGTACTCATGTAAACAGGAGTGTCTACTTTTAAATGTGTGATTTGCTGTTAATGCGATATTCTCAATCACTGCTCAGCTTGGACAGAGCACTGTTTACAGCTAGTTCACTTAAGTTGCTTTCCATTAATCTGAATGGTGATTTGGATACCTCAGACACGAATGCTAACCGTAGGATTTCCATGATTGAACCTTCTTTAACTCTAGTTAAAGAAACAGGCGGGTTAACTCTTCAAAGGTCTATGCATTTAAAGTGATTTTTGTGTTTGTGCATTGATCATCTGAATTCTGATTATGGGAATTCAAGCAAGTAAGTAAAATGTGCTTATGATCTGAAGTTCCTGGTGATTAAAAGAAATACTGAAAATATATTTGCATGTCTCATATAATACTGCTGTTCTTGACTTTAACTCTAATCCTAGTGTCTGAGTACTTTGAAAAGTTTGAGCTTCTGCTTGTGCTCATATTTTGATCAGTATTCGCATGTGAATTCATGCACTGTTGCATGTCCTAAACTTGCAGTGTTTACTCTCTCTCTCTCCCACATGTGGGCAGGCTCCTGACTCCCACCCAAGTTTCCCATCCCGGGCTTTGGCTCATTCTCGTTTCAAGGATCATGCCAAGACACAGTGAGAGCTGGAGCAAGGAGCATTGTGGAAAACTGACAGAAACGATCCATTGCAAGAACTGGTTTTTTTCCACCTTCCCTTTCCACTCCCAGAAAGCCCACGAGTCGCTCCTCCTCTCTGAGCGGGTTTCCGTTAAAATGTGCTGGTTCGTGTTCAGAACCGAAATTGGCCCAGCAGCCCTAAAGACAGCTGGAAACCCTATTAGGCAACACACACGGCATCATTACTACAGCCTGGGCTGGAGGAGCAGAGCACACAGCCACTAACGATCTGCTAGCCTTGTCTCCTGTCAAGGATATTTTTTAAATTATGGACCTTCAATGCTTTTCAATTCAATTCAATTAAACTTTGTCATTATACTCACACAGGTGCATAGTGCATCATTAGTCACTCAGGTGCAGTATATAAATAGAACAGAAGATAAGACAATAGACAGTAACACAATAACAATAACGTGTAATCAAAACTGTGCAAAATCCGCAGAGAAAAGAATACAACAAAGACAGATGGGGAATTTCTAAAAAAAACAACAGACATGGTCTTATTTATTTTGTATGTAAACCAAAAATAACTGTCATTGATTTCCACATAAAAAGCATTTGTTTTTGTTTCAGTATATGTGTGTGTTAGCTTTACCAGACCAAGTGGTAATGTCTTCACCTCCTTTAATCCAGGTATGACAAACGCAACTGCTGGCGCCCTACACCGCCTTCGGAAAGAGTAGAAAAAATCCTTCTAAGCAGATCCTTATTGTCAAGAATAGACAATTGCTTTCTCTTTGCAGAAAGGACGCTGTTATCAAATGTGAACTAACGCTGACATCTTGTTTCAGACTTCAAAGAGGTGATTAGCATTGATTATAAAAACGCTTCTTTGAATGTCGCTCTTTAATAATAATAATAATTATTAAAATGTATTGAAGAATTTTAGTAATAAATTACACCCTTTTGGTCAAGGTGCTCAAGCTGAAGAGCCAGAGAATTGTAATTTGACACCTCCTGCTCAAGAAAGCTCTATGGAAGCATGTCGCCTGACCTTTAGCTAAGACGTGCAAGACTCGCATCGCAATCACCCCGTGCACATTGCAGGTCCACACACGTGCACGATCGATGATTAATATGGTGAAGACGGTTCCGGACTGGAAGATATCCAAGGCGCCCTGGCGGTAGAATACTAGACGAGAGGTCTGGACTCGAAAGAGCCCGTTACGGGTCCTGGCTTGTTGCTTCTCATACAAAGGCTTCTTTAATTGAGCAAGCCAGGAGGGCGGTGATAGAACATGAGGCAAGAGATGCTGCCTTCAGCGGAATCACAGAAGCCAAGATAGCGTGCTGGTCCACAGAGACATAAATCATGCGAATCCTAGCTAAGCAGTTATTATTCCCCGTTCATTTTTTTTAAATAGCATTATAGTGTTGCCTGCTCTTTATTTGTGTAGTGCGCCGTGCAGATAACATATCTCTGATCTGAGAATGCAGTCTGGAAGGCGGGAATATCCTATCTGTGGAAGCTCACGTTTCCTCAAGTCAGAAAATAACACTCCAGGCTTGAAGCTTACAGATGATCCCACGCGCGCTGTGCTGTGTTGTTGATCTCGGGTCCAGTGAACATTTCATTAAGGGAATTAATTCATAACAGTTCGCCCATAAAAATGGTAGTACTGTATTTAACATAAAACGTAGCAATACAAAGCAATGTGAACAGCGGGAATAGTACATTGAAATTCCTTTCTAAATGCCCAGTGGAATCGAAGGACATAGAGAGGAAACGAAAAGCAAGAAAAAGAAACACGTTTTTCCTTCTGATCAATCCGCATGGCTAGCGGGCGCGTCAGGTTAACGGGTGAGGTTAATTTTGACACAACGAAATGAGGTTTATGCACTAGGAGAAAGTTATTTTTAAAACCGAGAACCTGAGGTTTGGAAACTTTATTCTAAACACGGGAAAAAAGCCGAAGGTATTGGACAGAAATATTGTCCGTCTCCCGACGACCAATATTTCCTAATCGTTGAAAATAATTAAAATGTTACGTTTCAGATTACAAGCACTACTCCGTGCAATCAGGATGCATCAGCTGCTGCCCCTGAAACTCACTTTTTAACCATTAAAATAATTATAAACAAAAATAAGTTTGAATTTGTAGTATTACTTGATTGTTACAAGAGGTGGAAAACCTCCCAAAATAAACCAGATCTTAACCTTCAGTTCTCAACCTAAATAAGGCATAACGTTTCATTTGAGCTAGAGAACTTTCCTACAGTTCCTACAGTGGATACTGCACAGCACGTAGGGAGTTTGGATGTATCCTTGAGTACACGGCACACACACGTTATAAGGAAGAAAAGGCAGAGTTCAAGTACATCTAAGTGAAGCTCTTGCCTTAGCTAAGCGGTGAGGCTACTGTGGTCAGAGACCGAGCTGCTACAAGTGATCTTTCTCGGATGTGCAACTCCGCGCACGCTGACCCAAGGCGCTGGCGAGCCCTCAGCCCGAGTGGGTGATGCTGGTCTCGCTCGGACGGCAGTGTGGCGCTGGGGTCGCGGGTGGGGGAGAGGGGTCAGCCCTGCTTCACCGGGACAAACGCGGGGTGGGCTGGCGGATCGTGCAAATCGTCGCGATTTTTCTCTTTTCAAACCCCGCAGACGCGGAGCCCCGACTCCCTCCTTCCCTCTCTCTCTCTCTCGCCCCCCCCCGGTGACGAGCCACGCCTCGCCTCGCACAGCCAGAGCCAGACAGCCAGCCGGCCGGCCGGACGGACGGACAGACCGACGGCCATGTTGGGAGAGGCGAGCGCGCGGCGCCCTCCCTCCTAGCGGCGGAACTCGCGGGGCTCCGCAGCGGCAGCACGCGCGCACGCGGGGACAGGGGCACCGGCCGAGGCGCCAGGAGGAGGAGGAGGAGGAGGAGCAGCGGAGAGGAAGACGGAGAAGGAGACTCGCTCTCTCTCTCGCTCCCTTTTTTTTTAATTCATAATTTGTGGACGGGGATTTTTTTTATCTCGAGAGGAGGAGGAGGAGGGGGACAAACAACTTGTGTCTGGAAATCGGCTCGACCCGTTCCCCCTTACGTTCCGGCGTCGGGTCCGGCTTGGGTGAGTTTTCTGCGGGTCGCTGTTTTTCCGCGCTGGCTGGGTGTTGAACAGTTAGAGAACTGAGGAGGAGGGGGTGAATGCTCATCTCCCTGCCTCTCCCGGTCTCCGAGCCGCCGTGAGCCGCAGGGCCTGGCTCTCCTGCCCGTCCTGTGCAGCGGGCTGGTTGTGCTGTTGTGTGTGCCGTGTTGTGTTGTGTTGGGCGCCGCCGCATTCCCGTGCTGTCGGCGCAGGGGTGCCGAGAGGAGACCTCTGCGCATCTCGCCCCCGACGGGATAGCGACGCTGGCAGCAGCGGGCGGCGGGGAGTCCGCCGGTCCCCGTGAGGCAGCGCGATGGTCGCCCGCTGCTCCGTGTCCTTCCCCACAGGGGGCTCCTTGCGTGTGCGGTCTCTCTGGACCGCCGGGGCTGCTGCTGCTCGCAAACGGGCGAGAGCCCGGGCAACCGGAATATTTCTGTGTTCACGCACGTTGGATGTTTTAAAACAACAACAACAGCCCCAATTTAAGATTTCGCAGCAGGCTTTTCGCCGGCGGCGCTTGAAGTGCCTTGTGGAACAGTCCTGCGCCGCCCCCCCAAAAAAGCGACTTTATTTCGCAATGAGCCGATATGCAACTTGGCCCTCTTGGATAACTAAACAAGACGGCCCAGCAGGAAAGTTATTGATAATGACGGCCATGGCGTAGCTCCTTTTGGATTGGGTGCACCGCCTGCAAAATACCCCCCTTGTAGTTTATTGCGCGTTGAGCCAACTACTGTTGTGGTTCTGACCTCGCAAGGACGGAGGACGCTCGCTGTATTTATTTTAGACGACAGGTGATTGTTGCTACGCTATTTCATATGAGTCAGGATTAGCGTGGAGTGGCGAGAGCTCAAGAGGAGTGTGTTTTCCACGTTCTCGGTGGAGGCTGCTGCACGCCTCGCCTGTACGCCGCTGTTTCGGCGTCTTTCGAGCCCCGGCAGAGACCTCAAGTCCGCGTTTGCTTCGTGAAATCACCCTCCGTGATGGTGTTTTTGTGGCACCCACGTCGGGTCGTCGGTGAAGACAAACCGCTCTCGCACAGTGCCGTGGGATTCCGTTATTCAAACTTCACAAGCGACGGTCCTGACAAGTGCTTTACGCAAACTCCCCTAGGCCATTCCGTTGGCGAACGGCAGGAGTACGCCACGGCGGCGGCGCAGGTGCGTTCCGGAATAGGACATTCGACGTGCGCGCTGTCCGTAGGAACTTGGCTCGGGCAGCGCCGCTCCATCTGGCAGAGGCGGGTGCCCGGGCGTGCGAGCGGAGTGCTGATTGGTGGGCTGGGGAGGGTCGTGCTGTCAATCAAGTCGCACGGCCCCTCCCCCCGTGCCGGAATATTTGATACAGGCTTTTGTCGCGGTGCCCGGCTGCGTGTACAGCAGTGTGCATTACAGTAGTGTAGTTCAGGTGGGTAGCTGCGTCAGCATGCGTAGGCTGCAAAGGAACAAGTAATAGGTTTATTCCATGCTGAAAAAAAAAAAAGAAAGAGAACACGACGTTTCGGCCGTAGAGCCTTCTTCAGGTGTGAAGAAGGCACCTGAAGAAGGCTCCACGGCCGAAACGTTGTGTTCTTTCTTCTTTTTTTCAGCATGGAATAAACCTATTACTTGTTCCATTACAGTAGTGTAGCCTCCTTGTCCAGCGAGTGACGAGCTGGGCTCACAGGAGAGCTTCACAGAGCTCCTGCCTGCCTGCCTGCTCGGTTTTGTGTTTCCAGCCCGAGAGAGCTTGCCCGTGTTTGCTCACATGCGGGTCTCAACCATGTCATGCCAAAAAATAACACCTCTTTTTTTTTTAATAAGACGTGTGCATTACAGAGGGGAAGAAAATGAAAACCCAAATTATTTTTTATAGTCCAGAGAGGTCCCCCCATGCCAAAAAAAAAAAGGAAAATTGTTTTAATGATCTCACGGCTAATACGAAGGAGAAAGGGCTGGTGTTCTCATGTTCCTGCATTATCAGAGCGCTGGCAGTTTTGTTAATCGTCGTTGCGTGAAGAAGTAGACATGAAGGGGGGCTCTGTTTTGCACCTGGGCGAGGCGCTTGAATAAAGGTGCTGCCCTCAGCCAGGCCCGAGAGCTGACTCGGTCAGGTGTGTGGACACAGCCCGTTTCATTTCCCAGTGTGCGGACCGAGCTAATAATGTAATAATAATAATGTTGCTTTATTAGCCCTATACAATTTCTTGCATTAGGAATTTCGCATACCCCAGCTTTTCTCCAAGGAGACACAGGCACACAGACAGGGAGAGAAGCTGGGGGTCAGAGCGCAGGGTCAGCCATTGTACGGCGCCCCTGGAGCAGTTATGGTTAAGGGCCTTGCTCAGGGGCCCAACGGAGTAGGATTCCTCTGCCGGCCGCGGGATTTGAACCGGCAACCTTCCAGCCACAGGCGCAGATCCTGAGCCACAGAGCCACCGCTCCGCCCCATCGACCGGACACATCTCGCCCGCTGCCACAACCGGGCTCGAGCTGTACCCCGGGACCCAGTTCACCACGGTCTGTTTCCACCCCTGGGCTCCGGCAGGAGGTATCGCAGTATCGGAACGCCGACCAGTAGACTCAGAAACAGTTTCTTCCCCCAAGCAGTCCGCATCTTCAGCAGCTCAAATTAGCACCTGCCCTTCAAGGCACTGCACTGTTTGCAGTGTTATAACGTCTATCGTCTAAATTTATTGTCCATGTCCGTTTGTCATTTGTGCCTATTTTTTCTCTCTCTAATGTTACGGGGTCCAGCTGAACGAGTAAGCGTTCCAGTACCCTTGTTGTTTAGGGCACATAAAGAAATCTTGAGTCTTGCTGGAGGCGCTGAAAGAAATGTGCCCCCCGAGCTGGGGGTCGGTGGCTGCTTGGAACGGGCTGGGGGTCCTGTCGATCGCGTCCGGTCCGGTTCTGACCGGGCGCCTGTTGGCGGCGAGGGTCTGCATGGGCCGTGAAGCCGCGACGTGGTGAGGGAGCGGAGGGGGGGGGGGGTCCGCTGTCCCACGGTGGTCCGAGAGGACCGGTCAGCGTCCCGTGGGCTTTTAAACGGTCATTAGATAAAGACCCTGTTTGCCCTCGTTGGGCGTGAGGTAATCGAAGCCCCCGTGCCTGTGTGAGTGAATTTAGAGCACCGGCACTCTTAAAGGCCAGTGGTAAGCACTTAGGTCTTCCTGAACTGCGTCTCGACCACGTCACTCTGTGAGATAGATGGAGGCTGGGGAATTATTACTGCACAGCAAAGCCTTGTGGCTTATGGAGGATTGGCTCTGGGTCTGCGGTTCCTCTGCGTGGTGTCTCTGCCATATGCTGTCTGCTGAGTGTTCAGTATTTTTATTACAGCGTGTCCTGGCCGTGCTGTGCTTTGAACAGTCCCTGTTGCCCGATGAGCTCAAGGTCTTTTTTGCTGGGCTTCTGTCTGTAGATGATTTAATTTAATGACTTTTCTTTCATGAGCGTCGTCCTGTGCTGTTTTCGGTGGCTCAGCGGGCGATAGCTCTGACGTGTGAAGGCTGTGGGATTGTGCCCGTCTCAGACATCGCTAGAAGGACAACACAAATTGTACCAAACTGCTCTTCTAAAAGTAGAGGGTAAAAACGCCCTTGGAACAACCACCACAACTTGTCCATTTGTGGTGCTTGTTAACGCGCTGCGTTTCGACCTAGTCTGGGTGGAACTGGGCATGACTGATGTTCGGTTTGAGCCACACTTCCCCTTGAACCTCAGAAGCGCATGGATGCCAGGAGTAAACTTCACCCGGCTTGTCTTTTAATGTGCACTGTGCAAAAACACATCCGGACATTTTAAATACAGCAAAGTTAAGATGGCCTGCAAAGGCAGACATTTCGGCCACAGGGCCTTTTGTGTGCAGTCTGTCCAAGTCTGCTCTGTGAAACCGAGCTTTGTGTTCCTGTCGTGTGCAACAGTTTTTCACGTTCCAGCTCTTGTAGCTGGCTGTGGGGTTGCAAGCAGTCGGGATCTCAGAAGAACTAGTAGTAGCCCCCACCTAAACCTTCCAGCACAAAAAACCTTGGGGATTCTGGCACAGGAGGTTCTCTGCTTTTTGTAGAAAGCTGTTGAGTGTTTTATGTAATGTAATGTATTGTTTCTTTATTAGCCCTGTACAATTTCTTGCATTAGGAATTCGTCTTTTCGCATACCCCAGCTTTTCTCCATGGAGACACAGACAGGGAGAGAAGCTGGGGGTCAGAGCGCAAGGTCTGCCATTGTACAGCACCCCTGGAGCAGCTGGGGTGAAGGGCCTTGCTCAGGGGCCCAACGGAGTAGGATTCCCCTGCCGGCCGCGGGATTTGAACCGGCAACCTTCCAGTCACAGGCGCAGATCCTGAGCCACAGAGCCACCGCTCCGCCCCATAACTCCTTTTAACTCCTCCTGCATGTGGGGTGACACTTGGTTTATCCGTTGGTCTGGTTTTGTTGACCCCAGCTGCTCTTGGTGGCGCAGTGGTCTGTCAGAAATCCACTGGTGTTTGGCAGAGCCCTTTAAGCTTAGTGCCACCCTCTTCCTTTATACTGCCCAGCATCCATACTGCTGTTGCATAACATGTAGCAGTTGTGGCATGAGACTCTTTCCAGATTACCAAGCGCCATTTAATCGTGAGGGAATAGTGGTGTCTGGGAAGTGTCAGCTGCATCTGCCTGCCATATGTACAGGACTGCAGCTGAGCAGTCGTTCTTGTGAGTTTAGAATGCTACACGAAGACCGTCTTCAGGCTACACTGAGTATCCATGGCACTTCTGCCTCTGTTTTGCTAAGTACCCGACAGTGAGGCATTTCTGTAGTGTTTAGCTGTGAAGATTTGGAAGATAGTGTCTGATATGCGCTAACAGTTCACAAACTGGTTTCAAATGTTAAATTTCCCTTCGGGATCAATAAAGTCTCATCTAAAAAAATAGAAAAATGTATGTTCTTTTTTTTGTGCCGACATGTTTTTTGATACGGTTGTGAGTTCCTGATTGCTTTAAACTGAGGTGAGATGTGAGGCCGGCAGATTCTCATCTCCTCTCCGAGCACGAATGGGGAACGAGGGGTTAACCTCCCGCAGCAGAACGCTTTCAAAAGGAGGGGGGAAGTACTTTTTGTTCTTGCTTTGCGAATTTTGCGAATGAATTATAGCCGTTTGGACAATGCACAATGAGAAGTTATTTCTCAAATTCAGAACAGTTCTCCTCCTGTTTTTCCTTTTCTGGTGACGGTAGCATTGGACAGTTGAAAATGTCAAGGGAACGGACACTGAGGAGAAGCAGTGAAAATGTAAAGTCTTGTTTTGTGTCGACTGTGTGATCACCAGGCACTTCAGAGAATGGCTTGTGATGGCAATATTCTCGGCATCAGGGGCCCCAAGGCTGGTTATATAACAGCAGTGCTGCTGTTTTTTGTTGGCTTTGCTTCTTGTGTCTGTGATATTTTTGCTCAGCACTTTTCCCGCAGAAGACAGGTTTTCTGTGACCGGATTCTCCTCCCGTACCTCTGCAGAGTCTGGGCACTGTTACCAGAGGCGCGTACCCCAGAGAGGCGCGAGAAACCGTTTTTTTGCTTCACGCGTATGGTGGTTTTCAGTAGCTTTGGCGTATCTCCACCGTGCTTTTCCTCCCCCCCATCATTCCCTCAGCAGTTCCGCCATGTGTTTTGTGTTTGTTGTTCTAAATTTAATCTCGGTACTAGTCCTCAGAAATAGCTTTTGCACCCAGAATCTGAGGCTGGGAAGGGGCAGATTCACGCCCCCTTGGAAGACAGGCGGCTTTGTAAATCGGGGACCTTGGTTCACTTTCTCTGAAGTTTATTTTAAAAATCTTTCTTAATAAAACTCCTTATTCTTCTCCAGGGTTGTTGGCTGTGGGGGAGTTTTGCCGTCTTGAGGCTCAGCACAGATATTCCTTTCCTGGTTTTTCTGCTTCTCCCTGGAAAAGCGGAAGGGTGGCGAGGAGACAAAAATGCCGAAACCGGTAAGCCTTTTTTTTTTTCCTGGAGTATAACTGGCTTTTGTTTTTTTGTTTTTTTGTGTTTAAATGGGAAAGCATTTTCTTTGCCGAACAAGAATCCGCCTCTTTCACTAGTTGTAATTATTAGGTCGAACCCCAACCTGATAGCTGATTCCAGTCAAAGGAAAAGAGTAATGAGGAAATCTGATCCAGAAAAATCAGTCCAGGGTCATCGGAAATTGAGGAGCTGGTTTGATTCGTAGTCTTATAGTCTGTAACTTGTTGAAAAAGTGCCCTTTTTTGTTGGACTGTGTTGTACTGAATACTAAACTCATGACATAATCTACTAATGCTAATCCTAGGTCTTGGCAACCAGGCATTTTATATCCTTTAGACCAAGTTATTTGGCATAAATATGACCATATCTGACCACTTGTATAGTTGCCACAGAGTAGCATTCAGGCAGCTGGAAGAGGGATTTTTAGGAAGAAGTGAAGATTACAAACCGATGTACATAAACACTTTGTAATACCCGAGTTTTTCGGATTCCGTGGATCCGTGGAATATGGATTTTGGGGATCTGTTCTCTGTAAATTAAGGAAAAACTATTCCTGTCACAGTGGATTTACAAAATGACAAAAGTTCTCGAATAACGAGTGAAAAGGTGGGTCTTGGATCTTTTCATTTTTAGATCTGAGACAGTTATTCTTAATCTAAATGAGGCGCTAGATACAACACTACTTAAAAGACCTGCTTGACTACACCATTGCAAGACGACAATGTTTATTTTCAGCAATAAATCCGGACGCACTAACAGAGTTTGGCCGATGGTGACTAATAGGAAGCATGTTGATGGGTTTGTGTGATGGGTAATTACTGGTTTAAATGCGTGTACACACTGAAGATGGATCTAATTTGTTCTGTCTGCGCAGAATTTCTATGAGGGGGCTTTTCAGAATTCATAATTTTCCATTTGTCCTTCAGTTCTTAATTCTGCAAACACAATGTGCTCTTTTAGTTGAGATCTCTTTGGCCATCTCCATTCTGTCCAAGATGTATTCTCCTGAATGAAAAAAGAATAGTTCCAAGTTCCACTTCTGGGCATGCCCATCTTAGCGACTGAACAGAACAGGACATGGCCCTGAATTTTAAAGCATGTTATATGACCATGACATAGAGCTTTAATTTTTTCCTGATAGTTAAAAATCCTGTAAATCAAAAAGGAAGATGAGAGACACCAGTGTTTGGTATAATATTGAGTTTCAACAAGTAGTGTTTCAAAGATAGAAAAAAAATCTAGAATTTCAAAATGAGAGCACTTAAAAAGTACAATATGCAATACACATGTCTCTTTAGGAGCATTTTTATTAATTAATATCACTCCATTGGGGCTATGTTGGCAATACATTTCTGGCAAAAGTTGTTCTGCAGAAATATTTAGAATTATTCGTAACCCTGATGTCCTAGTATGAGTTTACATGTGAACCTTATAGAGATTGAACACAAAATTCCTTTAGAGACCTAGATATTTGAATGTTGTGTGATGTCATGTGTTGTCACTCTGAAAGGTTATGCAGGTTAGGATTATTATAGGTTGTGGGGCACATCTTTCTCTGACATCTTCTTCTGAAGTTTTGTTAGAGCTGAAGAAATAGAATATTTTGAAGAACTACATTGAGTTATACTATAGAAATATTAGCATTAAGGTACGTAGGGTATGATTTAGAATTTCTATCACTTTGCATTTCGATATTTTTTAAAACCCCCCAAACCAAAACTTCACTAATCACAGAGCATTGTGTTTCTGCTGCCTTTTCAAGATTAGCACTAGGAGACACCCCTCTTTACTACCCCTTACTAGCTGGTAGTCCACTCAGTAGTGACCCACACTGTCTAGTTCAGGGGTCTCCAACGCTGGTAGTGGCAGATCAGTAATGATCTCCATAGTCCATGAGCCTGTCCCAGATCACCTGTTTTTTAAAGATGGGGAACACATGAAAGTTAATAAATTAAGCAAGTAATCTGTGCAATTAGAGAACCCTGTTTTTTGTAGGATAAAGGGGATTTTGATCTCTGTTCCAGTGAACTCTAGATCAATCAATTTAACTAGTCATTTTTGGTTACCTAATCAATGCGAAATCGTCAAGCTGTTTAGAAATTGAAAAATTAATTGTCTATAAAATGTGCTTTGTAGGGTCTCTCCAGGACCAGGATTGCAGACCTCTTACCCTCTTACTGAACTGTAAAGCATAAAGTTAACATAAAACATTTTAAAGAAGGTGAAACTTGATTTATGGTTATTCAGAACTTCAGTGAACTATTGAGCACCACGATCCTGATGTCCTCCAGTATGCAGATATTACAGTAACTAATAGACTACTGAGTTCAGCCTAGTGAGAAATGTCTGCTGTCTTTGTAGCTTTTCAAGGTTGTGAGGTGCTTATCTGCAGTTGGACCAGCACCAAGTGATCATGAAGTCTGTTCTTTCCTGTCTTGTGGCAGTATCCTCTGCAGCGGGGTCTTGCACAAGAGAAATAAAGATAAAGATGAAGCAGTGACTTGAAGGGCTTGCCATCACTGACAGAACCTTTGTTTTGTCTGCTTGAAATGTACTCAGCCTAAAAAATGCAAATCCTGTTAGGAGGGTGAAGTTAATTTTCATGAGTAGGGCTGCAGCCCTCTCCCTTAGGGAGACTGTGAAAGAACTCGACAGAGTTCACTGTGAATGTCCCACAAGTGAGATGCGTATATACTTCAGTGTTGTAAACGGATCCCTGCTGAAACGTGCGAAAATCCACACGTGCATTTTTTCACTAGGAACTGATAGATTTAGATTTCCGTTTTTCCTGCGAAGCAGCCTATGCTGTAGTGGGGAATGGAAATTCATTCACCTGCCGGTCATGTTAAAGGGCAGGTGTAAGGTTGAAGCCAGAGGGGGAAAATGGGCATATTCTGTGCCGAGTATGAGTCAGACGGAAACTGTAGAAAATCCGTTTTGAGGGGTGATATTCTTAAGCTTTGGAAATCGGAAAAGCCGTGAGGGGGGGAAATGTGTTCATATGACCCCATGCCGTATGGGCACAGAAGAGCTTTGGCCTTCCTGCTTCCTGCTTCCTGTCCCATGTCCCTGCGGGCAGACCCATCAGGAGCTCCAGGGAGTGCTTCGCCTTTCACTCCTCTACTCCCATGAGCAAGTGAGTCAGGACACCCCGCCGTCCCGCAGGGCGTGCTGCTGGGGGGGGGTCATCAGGGCCGTCCCTGCCAGAGAGGGACATGAAAGGCAGAGGTTTATGATGGCGGTTTGAGGAGAGGCTGATGGGTGCAGAAAACTGTAGGGTAGAATCGGCTGACCCTGCGGGCGGTGGGTTCAGGGGTCCCCACCTGCTTGACGTTGGAAGAGGCCCCACTGAAAGGGACCTGTGCCGGGGTAAGGACACGAGGGGTTTTGAACGAGAGGAGGCCCTCCAGCCTGTGGAGGCCGCTGGGTAGCGAGTCGATAACACGGGTGTCACCCGGCTGATTCCAGGGTGTCGGCCCCAGCAGCAGGGCGGGGCAGCTTGTTTTATATGTTTTATAGCAGCTCTTCTGTTGGTGTGTTTCCCTGCGCGAGGAAGTGCTTTTAAAAGGGGGAACGGGAGGCAGCAGGTCCCTTCTGCTTCAGCGAGAGGAATTCACGTCCGAGAGAGTTTTCCTTTCTGTAAGATTTTAAAATGGTCGATATGCTTTTTTGCATTTGCTGGCTGACGAACCCTGCCATCTGCGTGCTCACAGGTACCGTACAGAGCAGTGACGGGCAAGCCAGTGATACCAGTTTGCATGTCAATTCAGTACCGTGCACTTCTGCAGAGAAGCTTTGACATTTATATTGTTTCTGCCCTTTACAAGAGGACAGGGAGTCCTAGGGAGCTGTTATATTTTCTGTAAATCTCCAGAATATTTCAGATGTTCATTACAGGTTTGGCTTGTTTATATTAGGTTTTTTTATAAGAAAACATAATGCGTGCCATTTGTAATAAACAGGCAATATCATAACAAAGGCATTGTTTTATTTTTAATATACCTTTAAGCACTGCATACGGTACTTCAAGGTAGTTATTACTGAGCATCCCAGTGTTAGTTGTCTATTATTATGTGTTGAGGCTGATTTGTAATTACAGTGCTGGGATGTGTGGGCTGCTTCATTGGTTGCTGTGGGTAACCGGTGGTATTTGTGTCACTTGCGCAGTGTGGTCACAGGCTTTATTGGGGTTTTCCCCACTGGGCTTATGCCAGATGGTGACCTTCACCCTCCATCCACTTTGCAGGCTAGCACAGTAAGAAACGTGTCACTCACTACACCTGAACAAAACATCTGGTTCGATTAGTAGGGTTCATCGGAGATGTAGGGTGTCCAGGACGCTGCCTGAGACAGCTCTGTGCTTGAAGCGTCTTGCTATTGGCTGTTTTCTGGCTCCATCAGACCATCTTTGTGTTCTTTTAGCTACTGGGGCACGGTGGAGTTTATCATTCTGAGTGCGCTGAGGCCATAAGTCCTTTTTTTTTTTACCATGAGAATTTAGTGGCAAGCGACTGTCTGAGCCGGTGATTTAAGAATGAGGTAACCCCTTGACAGCTCTCAGGGGTCCAAAACTCTATTGGCGTGAGATTTGCTGTCGGCATAATTGAGATTGCGTTCGGTTTGCACGCATGGTTTCTTTTATGCACATAAACACATTGGCAAAAGGAATAGAGAATCTCTGCAGCAGTTTCAGACTTCACATTTATTACTTCATTTTTTTTAAATCAACCTAGACCTGATGCGACTGCGTGAGATTTCCAGACCAAGGTGTGAGATGGTGAGATTCTCTTCCAATGTGCTAGACCTGAGAGCTGTGCTATTACTTACCATTTTGTGGCTGCCGGTTGGTAAATGGTCTTGCGCTGTTATCTGTACGAAACAGTCTTTCAATATGCATTCTTCTGTACATTCTGTTAGCGTTCATGCATTTGTTTGACCAGGCAGCCTTCCTGGCCTGTATATACTT